ACATAGCTGCAAACAAGAACAATCTTTTAGTATCAGAGCAGACACATCTATTCCTGGGCTCTTAAAAACAAATTTATTTGGCATAGGAATCACACATGAGCACTGTGCACAAATAACAGGGGACAATATAGAATCTTCCCATATATATTTATAGGGCTTCCCCTGATATCCCTGTCAATGGTGTTTTTCTATCACACTGTTTATGCTTTGAATATACTTGCATCCCTTATTGCAATTTGGGACTGACCTTGGGGAGGAGGGGTTGCCATTTATACTTCACTTCATGCGGGTTATCAAGGTTTAAAAGTGATAGGTTATTACACTTATTTTGCTCAGCAAATTTCTGCAACTGAACAATAGAATTCAAGAGGTCTTCCTGAGAACTGTCGATGATTCTCAGCAGTTACTGGATCCTGTAACCTTTGCAGCCACGTGGGGTCTTTTACTGCATATTCCAGGATTACTCACTGGAATACAAAGAGAAGACTCAAGAATGGCCTCTGAATGGTATACATGCAAACATCACACCAAACACATTAGCAGAAGTTAATACAGAGACGGGTGAATTGCACAGCAGTTTTACAAAATACAACTACTATAGATTATGTTACTCAAGCATAACCTTGGTTGTACTGTTTTAAAGTCAGACTGTCCCCCATACTACAAACGGTCAAATTAATGACCTACTGGAAAGATAGACAGACCTTTCCAGTGACTTTTGAGTGACCTTCCTAGTTATGATGACTTGGTCCTCTGCTAACTATTATCATTCTCTAATGATTAGCTATATTAAATTTACTAGCCATAAAGGCAATCCATTCTGCTATGGCCTATGTTTTATTCTTTAAAAGCTTAGAAAATGGGAGGTGTACAGTCACTAGGGTCTTGTATGCACAGAGAAGCACTAAGAGAAGCAAGAATGTTAATCATACAGGGTGTCTTCTCAGCGGAAGAGGGGAAATCAAATACCTGAAGTCCATCCAGAAATCTGAGAGTGTGTTCTGGTAATGAACTAGTGACTATTTTGCTATCTGCAGCGACATACCTCACCCTAATTCCCCAGGATAATTACTCCAGACTGTTCCCTCCTGTAAAGAGAAGCTTTTTCCTTTGAGAGAAGCCTTCCCGCCATCCTGGTTCCAGAACCGCATCAGTCCCAAATAAACACACAGGAGGCTATATTAATTATGAAGCTGTTGGCCTTGCTTGTTTCTTACTGGCTAGGTCTGACTTAAGTAATTACCCCATAATTGTTAATCTAAGTATGTCTCTTACCAGAGAATAGTTCCGGGCTTCCTACCCCATGGCGTTACATATCGACTCTCTTGTGTTTCTCCTTCCCAGAGTCCTCTTGGACTCCTAGTCCCTCATATCTAGATTCCTATTGGCCAGCAGTGCTTTATTGACAAATGCACAGGACTTCCCCCAACACCCTCCCTATACCATCACCCACTTAAGGGAGATACCACATGCACTCTATGGCCTGCTGACCTCTATGCTATATTGTATAGGGACCACATTCAATTCTAGGTCTTTCTGAGATAGAACCCAACCTCATGTTTGAATGTGCTGTGCAAAATGTTTTCACTGTAGTCATATGTTAACCTTCATTGTTTACTGGAATTCAAATGACTATGGGAATAACCATTAGCTGGAGACCCTTTTCCATATACTATACATACTTACAATAAACTGCCTGATATTAAACTCGTAAAGATTGACAAAATCGACCTGCACTGGGTTTTCATTCTCATCTCTTCCTGTGTTCGATTTCTTGTCTGACACCTGCATGCACTGATATGACTATTCCAGCATAGGTAACTATGACAGTAACAGCAGTAATTCTCAACACAGGGCTATAACTCATCAAACCATTCTTTTAGTCCTTTTCTTCGTTTGACCCAAAATATGATGATGGAGAGACATTGAGAAAGACTCCTCCCTGTTCTGATCCATCTGTCCAGGCATCAAACACCAATCTGAACTCAAAGTACATAGAAGCTCTGGGAACTCAAAGTTATAGGAGAACTAGTATTTAAAAATGTATATAAAGAAAAGCTGGAACAAGACATATATCCTTTAGATTGATACAAAGTAGTTTCCCATGCAAAAACAAATAAGGAAGATGAACACACGCCATATTAGTATGACTACACTTTTTTGTTTTATACAAGAGGATATAGTCTCATTGTTAGGAGTATTGTTTCCATATAATTCCATTTCGAACCTAAATGTTATCCAATGCTGATAATATTTGATAGATTCTCTTGAGTAGCTGCTCCCTCTATATGAGGAGAGGAAAGGAACTTCTCAGCCCCATACTAATCCCTCAGGCTCATGTGGATGGTGATGGCATCATTATTATTATTACAAAACCGCATCTTAATTCTTTGCTTTCCCATCTCGTGTAAGCAGAAGCTACACGGCTCTAATCTGTGACACAGCCACAGGGAATATTAATAAGACCTTGGAACTCTGGTCCTCTACGTTGTTCCCAATGATCTATTCACTTAATGCTGAGACAAAAGGAGTGTCGCCAGGGGGAAAGTGAGGTGGAATGAAAAGATTGTTAGTCATATTCCCTTTAAACCCTTTAGCTACTGATGTGAATACGTTCTTCTCATTTCATTTGTTGTTACATTATGAATAACAGACAACTATCCTCTAGATGTTTCACACAATGAACTTCATGTTCAATACAGCAAGGAAGGGCTTCCATCCCTATATCATGAGATGAGATAAAATTTAAAAGCTCTTGGGAAACAAAGGATCTCTACTGTCATAGGGTCCTGGAATCCAATTTGAGTCATTAGTATAAACTGGAATACTGGGATCCCATCAATGCACTACTGGGGTCAAGGGAGGGTTAAGAATATAAGCCCAGCAAGAAAAATATCTTTGCATTACTTACTTGAACAACAGTGATTGCTAACAGGGCCAAGAGCAAGATTCCAGGTATTTTATTTCATCCACATAACAAACCATCTCTTCACTGTGGAAGGGAATGCTTTGCTCATTGTTTTGGGAGTCTGACCCACAGTCAGATGAGCTATGTGTTCAGGAGGCAAGTTAAGCTGTGCTCACTTGCTCGTCTCTCAATTTCAGCAGTCTTTCTAAACTCTAACCATCACATGTACCTGTGCAAACATAAACACACCCTTTCCCCCATTAATAACATTTCTTTTTTCCACTGTAAAGATGTCCCCATTTATTTATTTCTTTATATATTTATTTATGCGTTTAATGAGAAGAATAAAATCAGTAAACTAAATTGGAAATTCTACTTTGCCAGCCAGTATCATCTGTCATGGCCACCCAGCACAGGACACATCTGCATGTCAAGGGAACCCGTGGTTGGGTCAACTGGTAGCAAGAGGCAAAAGAAAAACCTTTCCTTTTTTTTGAGATCTACTCTGGCAAACAGGTCTGTGATGATGCCTAGAACTCTGGGTTCTCCAGCATGAATACCCCTTGAGGCACAGACAACTGGAACCCTGAGGCCTTGGTTGCCCGGGGTCTCTTCCCCAGCCTGCACCTCTATCCTTTAACACCAATGTTAGTAGCTCAGGAGGGATGACTGACAGGCAGCCAACAATGTCAGACGAGATACTCCTGAGAACTGGGGTCAGGGACAGCATCGACAATTCACAGCACCCACCACAACCCACAGAGGCTTCGCATGACTGCCACTGTGACGCCTGGGGCCTCCGAAAGAGTGCTCTCTCAAGATGGCCTCTAGGGGCCCAGTGGTGCCAGGCAACAGGGTATATATCACATATGTTGTAGTGTATTACCCTTAATATTTTCTCCAATAATAGACCGATAAAGAATTTCAGCAGGCCTAAGATGATCATCATTACAATTCAAAGAAGTTAAAGTAAATAATGAGTAGACTAGGATTTTCACAGAATTAAGCACTGACTTACACCCTTTTAGTTTAATTAACATGGTTTAATGTTCTGTTAGATTTTTCAATTTTTGCCTGTCCTCAAGGAATATAAGGGACATCAGTATTATGTTTAATATTTCAATGTTGTAAACACCCTTGAAATTTTAATGATATATAAACTGGAACATTATCCACCTAATTTGTTGAAGACCACTAATGATATTAAAAGTTTTTTAAAATATAATATAACTGATGAATCCTTTTTTTTTACTTAATAAAGTGGTCCACTGAAATGTTGAAAATAGATAAACCCAATGATGCATGTATCACAACCTATCAAAAACATCCTTTTTTTTTTCAAGCCAGGGTTACTCTGTGTAGCTCTGGCTATACTGGAACTCATGTTGTAGACCACACTGGTCTTGAACTCAGAAATACACTGTGCCTGCCTCCCTAGTGTAAGGATTAAAGGTCTGGGTCACCACCACCACCACCAAGCTACCAAAACATTTTAATGCGCATTACATCCATTTGCCTTGAAGGGGATATTGGGAGTTACACTCTGGAGGGCAGGCACAGTGGGGAGAGAGGGGGGGAAATCATCAAGTTAGATGGAGCCAGTGCTGGAAGGGGAGAGGGAGGTCATGGTGGGCAGGGCCACAGCACAGGAAGAGGCAGCAGCAGACAGGGCAGGAACTGGGGAGAACCAGAGCAAGAGAGGTAAAGTAAGACTACTGGGCTTGGCTTCTTACTTGAGGTGAAGTAAGACTACTGGGCTTGACTTGTACTTGACATTTGGGGTGAAGTGTCTGTGAGAGCCAGACCTACCTAGAAATGCAAGAGCTTCACACAGGCTCTAGGGTGCATCCACAGCATCCCTGTCATACCACCTTCCTATTAACCTACACATATGACTTCTCCATACATACACACACAACACACACACAATGTCAGCCATGCTGACACAGGCATCATGGATGCCCCAAACATGTAAACGTACACACAGGCTACTCCCCACAAACACATATTTCTCACAGAACACACTCACATGTTTCTCAAAATGTATAGTTAGATCAGGGAGATGGGTCAGCACGATACCAACACCACTGACCTGAGTTTGCATCCCATTTGAGAAGAACCGAGTCTCAAGTTGTCCTCTCACTGCCACTCATGCACTGGGCATGCGCGCTCCACAGATGGAATGTTTGGTCAGAAACATCAGTCTATCACTCTTTGCCTCACAAGATTTCAAGACATGCACAGATACAGAGAAGTAATATGACAAAATAGTAATCACTATTTGGATCAGGATAGCCTTGAACTCTGCCTCTGCCTCAAAAATACTAGGTGTGAGGTGACATGCTCAACTAATTAAATGTTCTGATCAAATGAAAGCATAATAGAGAGATGTATGGCAATTTCCTGAAGAATGGAAAAAAATAAAAATAAAAATGTCAGAGTAATTTTAAAATCTTTTAAACTGTTACAAATAGAAAACCTAATCACCACTTGGACTCCTACACCTGACTTCCAAGACAGGGAAGCTGAGGACACAGCAGGAGTGTTTGACAGAGACATGGACCAGCCAGAGGACTCAGGTTCTGAGGATGAGCTGGAGGGCAAGGGGTCAGTTAAATGAAAGCAGAGACTAAGGGGGAGTTCAACCATTATGAACTTGGCATGAAACATGGAAAAATTTGAAGTTAGAAAAAGAGGGAATATTCAAAAAAGACACAGCTTCTCTTTACTTAGCTGCAGTCTCCATGGCGTTGGGGAATTTACATCAAGATGGAATTATCTACAGAAACCTGAAGTTGGAGAACATCATGCTTAATCAACAAGGGCATGTGAAACTAACAGACTTTGGACTATGCAAAGAATCTATTCATGATGGAACAGTCACATGCACATTTTGTGGAACAATAGGATACATGGCCCCTGAAATCTTGATGAGAAGAGACCACAAACATGCTGTGGATTGATGCAGTTTGGGATTGATGCTGACTGGAGCACCTCCACTCACTGGAGAGAACAGAAAGAAAACAATTGACAAAATCCTCAAATGTAAACTTAATTTGCCTCCCTAACTCACACAAGAAGCTCGAGATCTGCTTAAAAAGAAATGCTGCTTCTCTATTGGAGCTGGTCCTGGGGCTGCTGGAAAAGTCCCAGGGCATCCATTTTCAGACACAGTAACTGGGAAGAACTAGCTCAGGAGGTGGAGCCTCCCTTTAAGCCTCTGTTACAACCTGAAGAGGATGTGAGTCAGTTTGGTTCAATGTTTACAGGTCAGACACCTGCTGACAGCCCAATGACTCAACTCTCAGTGAAAGTGCCAACCAGGTCTTTCTGGGTTGTACACAGGTGGCTCCATCTGTACTTGAAAGTGTGAAAGGAAAGTTTTCCTTTGAACCGGAAACCTGATCACCTCTCAGATTTATTCATAGCCCACGAATGTCTATCAGGCCTGTCAGATTCTCTCCTGGAGATTCCTGGGGATGAGGTGCTTCAGCCAGCATGGCAAATGCTCAGACACTGTGGAATACCCAATGGAAACAGTGGGATAGAGCACACGGATGTGACAATGACTGAGAAGCATCAGCACCACTTCCTGTCCAACAGCTGAACTCTGAGCCATACAAAAACATGCTTTTCCTATGATCTCCACAGGGCCAAAGCATCTGCATATTAACCTATGACAAAAGAATTCTTTCACTGATGCAAACAGAAACAAAAAAGGGAGAGGAGATGTGAGAATCAAAATGGCAGTCTTAGAGAGTCAGTAACATTACCTAGACTGCTTTGGATGGAGGAAAAAATAAATATGGATTTAAAAAAAAAGATCAATCAACGGTGCAAAAAAAAACCAAATCCACCAAAAAAACTCAAGCACAACAGTATTGTGGAACCCACAGACATATCGATTGACTGGTTCCCAACTAGTGACATCTCAGTATTAGCAACAGTTTTCATGTTGAAGGCATGTATTAAGACAGTTTTAAGGATAAGATGTTGTTTCTGAATGACCATTGAAGCCTGACGATATCAGGGTTATCCTTTCATAGGCAAAGTATGAGATTGCTGCATTACTTGCAAGTAAGGACAGATTAGCATGGAAGCTTTTTCAAACTTTGACCAGCAACACAGAATCAAAGACAAAAGAGTCTTATGGATTCGTGTTTTACATGCAAACAACCTGCATTATTTTTCTTACATAATATATATTTTTCAAATACATTTTTGATTCAGCTCATTCTGGAAAACATCCCAAACTTTAAAATGCAAAATTAATGCTTATTGTGAAGAAAGTCAGCTTTTGTTTCTTCTCTTGATGAAATAAAATGCAGATGAATCCTTGTTAAAAAAATTGATATTCACCAGGATTCAGCAATTTTAAAAAGACTCGTCTATATATTCTCACACCTGTCAGCTGCACACTGGTAATCAAATAAGTAACACTGTTCCAGGCTTCTGTGGTGGTACTGCCCTTTGATGTCAGCATGTGGGAGGCATCAAAGGTCTAGGACACCAAAGACCAACAAACAGGACCACACTGTGGAAGATGAGCAGGGTGAGGATATGGGAGAAGATGTAAAACTAAATTAGGGATCAACATGTCTTCCATGGACCTAAGAATTAAGCTCCTATAGCTATCCTAATATATAACAAATTAGACTTCAAACTAAAAATTAATCAAAAGAGATGAAGAAGGTCATTTCACATTCCTCTCAGGATGAATCCATGAAGCCGAAGTCTCAATTCTGAACAGGTATGCACCAAATACAAAGACACACACATTTACAATGGAAACATTACTAAAACTCAAATCACAAATAACCCCGCCCCACACACACATAGAGAGGGACACCTCACACCCCACTGAACAAAATTAGCAGACAGACTTAATAGACAAATAAAGGAACTAACAAAAGTTATGACTCAATTTGACTTAACAGACATCTACAGAACATTCCATCCAAACAAAAAAGAATATACCTTCTTCTCAGCACCCCATGGGACAGTCTCTAAGTGTGACCACATACTCAGCAACAAAGCAAACCTCAACAGACACAAAGAAATTGGAATAACCCCCTGTACCGTATCCAATCACCATGGTTTAAAGTTAGAATTCAACAATACAAATTGCAGATATCCTCCAAAGTCATGGAAACAGAACAATGCTCAATTACATCACACCTGGATCAAGGAAGAAACAAAGAAATTAAAGACTTGCTAGAATTCAATATTCAATGAAAATGAAGACAGAACATACCCAGACTTATGGGACACTTCAAGAGCAGTGCTAAGAGGAATGTTGATAGCGCTACGTGCCTATATAAAGAAATTAGAGAATGGTCACACTAGAGACTCAACAGCAAACCTTTAAGTTCTAGAACAAAAAGACGCAAACTCACCTGGGAGGAGATGCCAGGAAATAATCAAATTGAGCTCTGAAATCAATAAAGTAGAAACAAAGAAAACAATATAAAGAATCAATGAAACAAAGAGTTGGTTCTTCGAGAAAATGAACAAGATAGACAAACCTTTATCCGAACTAACTGAAAGGACAATGCTCAACTTCAAATGGAAAAACAGAAAACCCAGGGCAGCTGAAGTAATTCTGAAGAATAAAAGGACTGCCAGAGTTCACAGCGTTCCACAGTGTGCTGTACTACAGATGTACAGTAATAGAAACCACAATGTTTTTGACATAAAAAGTCACTTCAAAATGGAAGACCCAGACATGAACCCACGTTTATGGATAACTGGAGTTTGATAAGGAAGTTAGAAATTCACATTGGAAAACGACCGCATCTTCAACAAGCGGTCCTGATCAAACTAGATGTCTGCATGTAGAAACAGATGTACACGCATCATCCCGCACAGAACTCGAGTCCACGTGTGTAAGACAACACGCGCCTGCCCGGTGTGAAACGCTAGCTGCTGAGTGCTGTATGCTTACACACAAGTCACGGCCAAGGCCGTGTCTGGATCCTCTCACCTGCCTAACGTGGGACAACCAGGTCTGTACCTATCCACATGAGAGAGCTGCCCACGGCAGAAATACACAGACATGACAAACGGCTGCAGCCCAAAGTGCATCGAAACGACCCACACTGCTGCAATGAGACCGCACTGTCCGAGGAAGACTCAGGCGATCAGCAGACCCTACGCGAACACTCGGGACTAAGTCACAACAGCGCAGTGGATTCTGACACCCGAGGCCGGGAGCCCGGGCAGTGTGGCCGCCCCGGCGTCCGCAGCAAATGCGCTCCCTACGCGGACTCTGCGCCCGGCACCGAGTCCACGCATGCGCTCCTGAGCTGAGCGCTCGGCGGCCAAGGCACAGCGTCCGGGAGACGCTGGGGACGGCAGCGCGCTGCGTGGTGACGTCACGTGCGGCCCGACCGCGCACGGCCCCCACGCCCCGTCCCGCGCGGTTCCGCCGCGGACGGAAGACGATCAGAGGCCTCGGGACCGGCGGCGGCGGCGGGGACGGCGGGGCTCACGTGACCGCAGGCCCGGGAGGCCCCGCAGCGGCTCCGCGGCCCCTCCCCGCGTGCGCACGGCGGCCCTCGCTCACCATGGCGGCTCCGCGCTCGCCCCGCGCTCCTCACAGCTCCCGGCGGCGGCTCACAGCGCGGCCCACGGAACGCGAGCGGCTGCCCGGGTCCAGGGCGGGCGAACTGCGGCATGGCGGACCGGAAGTGCCCGCCCCGCTCTGACTGACGGTGCGATGGCGGGCGCTGATTGGCCGGTGTGGCCTGAGTGACGGGCGCAGCTCCCTCAGGGACCGAGAGTGAAGGGTGCGGAGCCCGGGTTCCCGGCCCCGACTTCGCCCAGGGCAGAGCTTCCCGGCCCGCAGGGCGGGCGTGGATCTCACAGAGCGCGGGGCTGACCGCAAAGTCGTCCTGCGCTTTCCCGCTGAGTGAGCTCCTCGCACGCTTCCCCTGCGCTCAGGGCCGGGGTCTCAGGCCGGGCAGACGCTGGCCCAGGCTCTGCACTCTCCCAAATGTCCCTGTCTGTCCACCTGTGCCTCTCCCTTTCCATGAGCCGTCCTGTCCTTTCCTGTTTAAGTTCTTTTCTTTTTAAATCTGGTGCCTAAGCCAGGATCCAGCCATGCCTTTGCTTTTTTATTTGTTTCTTATTCCATTCGCAGTGTCTCTAGCATACACAGATAATTCATTACTTAGTGTCTAGGGAATGATTCCCTGAGATGACGCCCAGTCCATCCACGTCAACTTTAAACACCCTGATTGACATTTACCAGACACCAGAAATGTCAGTAAGTAAGGGCACATGCAACCAAGTCTGAGAGTCTGAGGTCAGACCAGGAAAGACCACGGGTCTCCAACCGTCCTCTGACCTTCACACAAGTCTAATTGTCTAAAATTCAGAAGTTTTAAAAAGAAAATCCAAAAAAATATAGTTAGGTATGTGGTTCTTCAACCACTGACCAAAATAGAACTCCTTTGAAACTCTGCCAGAAAAAGTGTCTGGACTGGAGAGCCAACCCTGCCCCCAGGCCCTTTGTAGCTAAGGCAGCCTGCAGAGTGAAGTGAGGGACTCTGACCATCCCAGCTAGAAGGAGAAGTGTTGTTCTCAGAATCTTATCTGGGATCAGCCACCTACTGGCTCAGACTTCAACTCTGAGCAGTTCACGGGAGTTGCAGACTCAATTCTGGGGCACTAGTTGAGTTTGCTATGAGACAGAGAAAGGACAAAGAAACCCTGCCAGTTTCACCGAAAGCCATAACTCAGACCAGTTGTGCAAAACATGCTATGCTTTTCATTTTGTAAAAAGAAAGTTTGATTAAAAATATGCATCAAAAATTTCCAATCTCTTAAACAATCATTGTGTAGAAAAGCACATCAATGTAAGTACAGAGTTTTAGTCAACTGAACCCTACAGGATCAAAGTAGTTTTCTTTCACCACTCCACAGTTACTACAGAGCCTCTTAATACTCTGACTAAATGATGTCTTTTGCTGTCCACTTGACATATGAGTCTACACATTTATTTTTATCTCAATTCTGCATCATTAGTAAAAATTCAGTGAACCACATTGAGAATAAGCATTTTACACCATGTTTCTATTGTTTCATTTTCTTTGTCAGGGTCTCACTCTGTAGCCTGGTTTTTTAGGAACTCATTGTGCAGACAAGGCTAACCTCAGCTAAGATTAAAGGTCTGCACCATTGCTGACTTGTATTAATTTTGCACATTTACTCACAAATAAACAGATGCTTGGTGTGACACACAATTGTGTCAGTAATGAGCACAGTGTGGCAGGAGGAGAACTCTGAAATTTAGGCAATCCTGGGCTATATGAGAGAACCTGTCTCTAAAGAGCAAACAGCAAGACACCCGCAGGCTCTTCCCCTCCTGCTTTTGCCATCATTAGTGTCAGTTTTTGTCGTGGAGATCACATGGGACGATGGCACCCTGGCCTTTGGCCCCAAGCCCACAGTCCACTATTTGACTCCCCTGCCTTGAGTCTGTGGCAGCTCTGAAGCAGCAGCCAGCAGCAGTGGCCATGATGGGAAGACTCCCTGTGCATCCTGCTATGCCCCACTGCTTTGAGGGAGAGTTTCATCCTGTGCCCGGCTTGCAGGCCTTCCACTCAGGATTGTTGCAAACCACACTAACATTTGAATGGCAAGTTCAGTCTGGCATACTATATGATTTCTGGCTCAGGTAATCCAGTTTCCCAGGGTTACTCATTTATACCTGAACTTGGAAACTAACAGGTGGAGTCCCATATGAATGGTGATTACAAAGGGTTGGACAGTCATTGATAGCCCCTGGATTGGCCCGAGGAGCATGTGGTGCTAGTGTCACAGTTTGTAACCAATTGCTACACAGCCTGGAAGGCAGAAGGTGATGCAAGGCTGAAGATGGCTTTTCCTTCCAAGATGACACTACTGGGGTCAAAGATCTTCACAGTACACTACACAGAACACTCAGCAATTTGAAAGCATAAGCTTATGTTGTTTACAGCATCTTACTTATGAGCATGGAGACAGCCATGAGGATCATGACAAAGAATTCTGTATTGATTCCTGCTCTTTTCTGAGCATACATTGAGTGAGTGCACTTTGGCTGCCAAGTTGTTTATCATTAGAAAAGCTAAGTAAAATCATCTTCCCATGATACACGCTCGGCAGCTTCAGAAACCTGCAGTGCCTGCAGAGAAGGCTCAGGTATCAAGACTGTGCTGCTCTTGCAGGGGAACTGAGCCTGGTTCCCAACACCCAGGATGATTGGGTTGCATGCCTATAACTTCATAATCTGATCATGATTTGCCATCTGAGAGAACTAGGCATGCAGGTACAAACATTCAGGCACACACAAAAACATAAGGCAAACAAACAAACCTCAACAAGAAATTGAAAGAAAACCCACATGGGAAGTCCCAGACATTGTTAAATAGATGAATGCTATGAACACAGTATATTTTCTTGAGGGCTGGAATGCATTTCTTCTTATTTACCTCTCAGCTTGCAACATGTGAATATGTGAATGTTGCATGAAGATTAGAAATATGGCTAGGTATAGTGACTTATTCCTTAATTCTAACCCTTGTGGGGCAGAGCCAATGGATCTGTGACTTCAGGGCCATGTAGGACCCACATAGTGGACCTTATCTCGAAAATAAGTATGTAAGAAATGGAGGTGACAAGTAGAAATTCTTTGTTCAGGGAAGACTACCCTTGAATGTAATTCCCAAGCATTATTAGTATATCATGTGAAGTTATTTTTCTCATGTAATTGAACCTAACAATTACTTTCATGATTTTATGTTGATAAAACAGCAAACCCATTGATTTAAAATGACAACGATTTAATACTGACAATTCAGCTGGAGAGATGCTCAGCTGTTAGGCGCTCACATTGCTGCTATAGGGAACTCAAGCTGCACTCCAGCGCCCACATCAGGCAGTTATATGGAAAGACCTCGAGCCATCCTTTAATTAAAAAATAACAAATACGTCAGTTCATTTAAAGTTTTTATTTTTGAGACAAGGTCTCTTTTTCTTTGCATAGCCTTGGCCACCAAAATTGCTCTGTAGACCAGGCTGGCCTTAACCTACAGAGATCAACCTCCATCTGCATGTTAGGTGCTAGAATTAAAGGTTTTTGTTGATCCAGGTCCTCTTAAGAAGCAATAAATGTTCATTATTGCAGCACCATCTTTATAGACTCTATTTTTATTGTTGCTTTTTTGTTTTATCTCAAGATAAACATTTAATTTGTTAACATTTTTGAGAACTGTTTGACATGCCAGTCAGTAACTTATTAAAATGCATTCTTTCTTAGGAATCTCATATTCACCTTACATGTTAAACAGGGTCACTCTGGCTCTCTGATAGACTATGAAGAACTGGAGTATATGTTTAACTCCCTGGAGGAATTTTGAGTGAGCCCCTGAGTACTATTTACCTTTTTTCATCAGTTTGTTTCAGACATGGTCTCATATGTAACTTTGGCTGTCTTAGAAATGAAATCCATGCTGGCCTGGAAACCAGAGAGTTTCACCTGCCTCTGTCTCCTAACATCTGGGATACAGGTTGTGAGCCACCATACCCACCTGTCTGTCCTTTTGCACAGCTAGTAATTTTGATACACTTTTACTGATGTATACTCAGCAGTGTTGCTCTGTTTGCATGTCTCTCTGTTTATGTTACTAGGCATTTCTTTTGAAATGACATATTCTATTCAGGGGGCAGAAATGAGAGGCACTATCTTCCTTCTCTGTTTCCTTCTAAAATGACTTGGACTTGGGGATTGCATTTGAAATTGTGTGATACGTAAGTAGTATATCAAGCACATAGAATTATATAAATTTATCCCTACTGGAGTGAACATTTACAATGTTATCTGTTTCACCATTTCTACATGGGATATTTTAGCATGTGATGATCTATGAAGGTGTGTGTGTGTGTGTGTGTGTGTGTGTGTGTGTACTTCATTCGTGAAGACTGGGCTTGACTGAATTCTTCTCAGAAGAGTCTCTACAGAGATGTGATGGTGGAAACCTATAGGAACCTCACTTCCCTATGTAAGGTAGGGAATTTTCCTTCACTTTTTAACTTAAGAAGAAAAGCCCTTTTTGGAGATTGGTAGTCTTCA